GGGAGAAGAAGAAGAAGAAGAAAAAAAAGCAAGAGTTAAGAATGAAGATGTAGAAGGCAGCAAAGATCCCAGAGGTCAAAGTGCACCTCTTCGATTGGCTTTTAGCTGAGAGAAGCATTCATCATCCCCAGGGAGAAAACAAGGCCTCTTCTGTGTTATTCCAGAGTCCGCAGACCTGGATCCAAGACTTGGTTCTACCACTATGGTTCAGGATCTCAAGGCTAATTCCTCACCCTCTTTGACCTCCACTTCTGTACCTATGAAATACAGATGGTAATGCCTCCCTGACAGCATTGTTGATAGGATAAATGATACACTGTCTATAAAACATACCTAGCGTAGTAGGCTTGAAATAAATTTTAAGCCTATAGCTATGCAGTGGTATAAAGATGTAAAGATGCTGCCCCGGTGCTATATACAGATCTTGTAACATAGAAACCGACACCTGAAGCCTGTATGTTCATGTTGACCAATGTCACCCCAATTTAATAAGTAAAAGAAAAAAAAAAGATGCTGCTCACTAGCATCTAATGCATACCCTCCGTTGCTCTTTAAGTTCTCCCCTTACCCTGTCTGAGATTCATAAGTTCCCAGCAAGGAAAGGGAGGAGGTTACAAAGGTTTAAGAGATAGCTTCTCTCTGCCATTGCACTGGTGGAAATCCAGCGCAGATCAGAAAAGTCATAAACATGGTTCCAGGTGTCACAGAAGAGGACAGGGCTGAGTTAGGCCACTCTGGAGTGTTGAGCCCCAGTCTATGTTGGGACTAGATGCTATGTTCTCTGGAGGTTCCTGAGATGGGAGGTGGAACCCAGGGCAGTCTTGAAATGTGAAGGTTGTGCTCAAGGCCACCCTAAGGTGAAGAGACTGTGTTCCTGTGCCACCCTGTGGTTGGGAGGCTGTGTTCCTGAGTGACCCCAGGATGGGAAGAATATGTACCCAAGCCACTCTGAGGCTCACCTGCACGGTGTCCTCCTGGGTCTGGGACTGGATGGGGGCTGGCTGCCTCACGATGTAGTTGATCTGCCCCACAATGGTTTGCTGAAGATGCTGAGGTGATTTGGTCTGACTCAGCTGCAGGCTGGGCTGTTGAGCCTGAAGGAGAAGCTCCAGGTCCTTCTGCATTTCCTCCAGCTCGAATTTGTGGTGCATTATGTCTACGTTCTGGGAACAGGCAGGCCCAGGAGGGTTCTCATGCTGACTAGAAGCCAGGTGCTGGGATGGAGGTAGAAGTGGGGGTGGCTGCTGCTGGGGTGGGGGTGGCAGAGGTAGCGGAGGTGGCAGCTGCTGCTGTGGCTGCTGCTGAAAGTGGCTGAGCTTCAGCTTCTGGTGGTGACCAAACTGGACTTGGATCGAGGGTGTCTGTAAGGTGGGCTGGGCATGGGCTCCAGGCTGAACATCCTGCGGGGGGACAATGCACACCGGCTGGGAGGTCAGCTGGTGCCCCAGCCGCTGGGATGTGCTCTCCGGCTCCACGGAGGGCTGGGTTTCCAGCCACGGCTGCAGCAGCTTTGGTGGGTGAGGGTTGCAGGGCAGCTCTTTCTCTCTGGGTAGCAGGGTGGAGCACTGCAGTGACCCCAGCTGCTGGGGCACCACCTCAGAGGGCTGCCGAAAGCTGTGAGCTTGGTGTATGCTGGGTGGGGGGACCTGGCCTTTAAGGGCGGGTGAGACGGGGGAGCAGTGGGAACAGCACACAGACGAGGAACACAGTGCTGGAGAGTGGAACTTGTGTGAGGGGTGGCTAAGAGCCTCTTGCTGAGCTACTGGAGACTGGTGGCTTTGATAAAAGGATGATGGCCCCTGTAAACTTCCATACGCATGGGTATCTGTCCGAGACAGTTGTCCACCTTCTGTGGTTATGCAGCCTGGAAATTCAGAATAAAGACAGTTTCCAAAGGTAACCTGCGATTGTTCCCTACTTGCTACCTCCTGCTCCTGGGACCAACAGACATCATTCAACAAACCTATACCAGGCAGAAATTAAGAAATTCAACCCCTGATCTCTAAGACTCAGTCTGAAATGAGACCAGTAATTGAATCTGTATGGACCAGTTTTGGGGGCCTGGGACATTTGAGAAATTATCACTGCTTTTACCAGATGCTCATTCCTGACTCTGTATCCTACTAGAGAAACAATAGGCTCCCTCAAAGAGAACCCATTCTTTCTTTTCTTTTCTTTTTTACTGTTCAAAGTATTACAAATAGTAGTATATATGTCTCATTTTTCTCCCTTTTCCCCCATTGACCTCCCCCCAGCCTCCCTCAACCCTCAGCACAAACCCTCACCCCCCTAGTGTCTGTGTCCATTGATTATGCTTGGAAAACTGTGGTACATCTTCACAATGGAATACTATGCTGCTGTAAAAAAAGGAATTTGACCCTATTCTTTTTTTTAACAAAATAGCCCGACAGAGACTGAGACAAAAAAAAAATTTAACAATGGAGATAGGGAGGGAATGTGCTGGGAAGTAGCAAAGAAGAGAGAGCCATCCCCCGAACAATGAGCAAGTCTGCAGATAAAGACCTGGGGAACCGTGTGTGGAGCAAATAAGGTGCAAGAGAGTGGGGAAACTCCAATGCAGCTCAGTGCCAGGGACCAGCACTGTCCTCTGAGGTCCCTGGCCTGGCACATGAGTAGATGGTATCTATTGCTAGCTCAGTCCAATGGCTCCTTTGGCTCGGTTGTTTGTTTGTTTTAATATATTTTTATTGATTTCAGAGAGGAAGGGAGAGGGAGAGAGAGAAACATCAATGATGAGAGAGAATCATTGATTGGCTGCCTTCTGCACGCCTCCCAGTGGGGATAGAGCCCACAAGCCAGGCATGTGCCCTGACCAGGAGGAATCAAACCTTCACTTCCTGGTTCATAGGTTGACACTCAACTACTGAGCCATGCCAGCTGGGCTTAGCTCAGTTTTGATGAGACTTATTTAGGGGAATACTGAGCAACTTGAGGGCAAGAGGTGTTTTATTCAACTTTGGTCTCTTAGTGCCCCAAATAAGACCTGACCCAGAGCAAGGGTCCACCAAAGGTCTGTTGAGTTAAACCCAAGAGGAGATGGCAGCAAAATAAAATCCTAAATATCATTCATCATTCTGTCAAGTTCAAAAAAACTTTCAAGGAAATTAATAGCCCAGATGAAGGCAACATTTGGCTATTAGTTTAATAAACCTACCATTAGATTGTCAACACAGACACGACCACTTGTGGTCTATATTCTGCCTAAAGACTGAATGTCAGCAAATTATTGCAGCAGAAAAAAAAAAGCACAATATCATGAATTATCTGCTTACATCTCAACTCCAAAGAGAGTGCACAACATTCACTTTCTCTCGCTCTCTCCTCTTCCCTCCCTCTCTCTCCTCTGCGCGTACGCTTTCTCTCTCCTCTCTCTCCCTCTCTCTCTCTCTCTCTCTCTCTCTCTCTCCTTTTTCTTTTCTCCCTCTCCTCTCTCTGCTCTCTATCTCCTCTCTCATTTCTCTCTCCTCTCTCTCTCTCTCTTTCTCTCTCTCTCTCTCTCTCTCTCTCTCTCTCTCTCTCTCTCTCTCTCTTTCTCTGTCTCCCTCCCTCCCTCCCTTCCCCTCCCTCCCTCTCTGTTGCTGATATACCCGTTTGTGCCCACACTGGTGTACACCCTTGTATAACCACAGACACACAGGTTCACCTGTACTGCCAGACATTCTGTAGAGCAGGGCTACTGTCTTGTTTCCTCTCTGCAATAAAACCAAGGTAACATGGACATTCATACAGAATGGGAAGCTCAGATTTCAAATGGTCCTGTCCCAAAAGTCCTATAAAGCCACTGGTATTTAAGCTGTCCACTCACTCATACCTTAGTTCCACTCCCAAGAAAGGTTTGCTGAATGACTCCATGACCTCTGGCAGTCTGAGGGAGTGCTTTCTCTTGGGCATAAAAGCTGACCTACCCAGTAAGCTCAGCTAAGCAGACACTTTATATTCATTCTTAGCAAGTATGTAAAAGCCCACAGGGTAGGCCCTGGCTCACCAAGGGAAGCCAGCTGCTTGGTCCAGAAGTTAGGCTCCCAGGTGAATCTGATACTCCAAGGGGAGCCAGGATCTGTGTTACAATTTGTCTCCAGCAATCGCTGCATCTGAAACACAATCTGACAACAGCACCAAAGTCATTTCTTTGGGCATCTTGCTCCAGAATGAAAATTCCCTCTCCCTCACTCTTTGAACAGGTTGAAGGGCTCAAAGCCATGGTTCTTTAGACTCAGTTCTTCTGCCATATGCTCGTTTCCTTGAACCTTAGTGTCTCCATTTTCTTATCCTGCCTCCTTACCACCTCTACCCACCTGGAACTCCCTCCCATTCCCCACTGATCCCCTTCCTCTTATTGAGGCTTCTGAAATCCTTATATTCTTATTTCTTCCAAGCCTCAAATAATTTATAATTCTTCTCAGGATATCAGTTGTTGGCAGACCTCTCAAGAGTGCTCCATTCATTCTATCATATCTCAATTTATAAGCCTATGGGGGCAGATATTCTCTCAGCTCCCTTAATGCTGTCCTTCCACCCACAGGTAAAAGTCCCTTCCATCCTAATCAACTGACCTCTTCCTCCCTCATCACTTTCATCTATTTCCTATCACTAGCCCTCCCATTTATCTAAGGCTCTGGCAAATGACCAACTTATCCTGCCATCATCTAGTTAACTAATGCCCCAATCACCATCTTGGCCTCTTACTTCTTTGATCTCTTTTAAATGTCATTCAACTTCACTTCTCTTTTCAGTTCAGTCATCCTTTTCATCATCTACAACCATTTTACCTATGAGACCATAAACTCCAATAACCTATTACCTGATCATAACTAGTTCTTACTCTTTCAGAGTAGGCTCTTCAACCTCGTTGAGCTCCGTAAGCCTGCCCCATCAAGCCATAAGACCATCTCAGCTTTTCATCATTTTCATTAACAATGTCACTTGTGCCCCAGTTCCTCCCCACCACCAATGCCTAACCTTAGGACAATACAGCCATTCCAAAGCCATGTTATCTGGGGTTGGGTCAGTGATTATGAACCTCAGTCCTTTTTCTTGTCACTTCCTTTCTTGTCTGGCTTCTTCATCCACTGCCACAGTGACTATTTAAAATCTTTACACCTACCCAAGGCCTAGCCCTCTTATTATCACTTTCAACTTCACAGAGGACAAAAGAGACCATAAAGGGCCAACTCTCTCAAACTTGTATCCCCCCTACCTCCAAACTTAACTACATGAAAGCTGATGCCTGCCTGTCCTCCATCTCACAGGAAAGGAATGCCTCTATGTTTAAGGTGAACCAATTCACTCTAGGCCCCACTTCTTTCTGCCTTCTCAGTATGCTCACTCTACCACACAACTATTTTCAACTTCTCCCAGATAAATTCATGCAAACATTTTCCGCATTAAAAAAAAAAAAGTCAAGTCGCCTTGTCGAGCTGTCTTCTGGATTCCCTTCTTTTCACTTCTGTCTCTCCACCTTCCATCCTCAGTCCCCTTGTTCTAGCTTTTAATTCTAGACTTTGCTAGAATTTCTTTCAAAAGATCACCAGGGACTTCCCAGATCTCAAGGTGTCTCTTCACTACTCATCCTGTTTCACCTCAGTAGCAATGATAACATTGACTACTTGAAACTCAGTTAATTTCTGTGCACCACACTCTCCTATTTCTCCTCAGACCTTTGCTTTTCACTTTCTTTCAGTTGTCCCTTTCCTCTCTTCTCTGCTGAAATTCATGGCATTTCCCTGGGTTCCAGATTTGTTCTTTTCTTCTTCCATCACACACTCTTCCAATGCGGTATTAGAGATATTCCAGTGACTCCCACATCTCTATCTCAAACCCTGACTTTTCTTTTGACTTCCAAATCCATCTATAAATACAGATTTTGGATTATCTCCATTTAGATGCCCTACAGCAGGGGTCCTCAAACTTTTTAAAGAGGGGGCCAGTTCACTGTCCCTCAGACCATTGGAGGGCCAGACTTTAGTTTAAAAAAAAACTATGAACAAATTCCTATGCACACTGCACATATCTTATTTTGAAGTAAAAAAACAAAACGGGAACAAATACAGTATTTGTATTTGCAGGTGGCCCGCGGGCCGTAGTTTGAGGACCCCTGCCCTACAGGCATCTCAGATTTAAACTCCTCTGCTGGATGTTCATTTCCTTGAACCTTAGTATCTTTATATCCTTCTTCTGCCTCCTCATCCAAATATAAACCCCGCCAACTTCTCTCAAAATCATTGCTCCTGGGCATCATCTCCTCCCAAGCTCAACACTTCGACATCAGCCTCCACTTCTTTCCTCTTAGGCCCCAGTTAAACCCCAGTAATTTTGTAGGGGATGATCAGCACACCACTAGTGCTCAAGATAATTTCTAAATCTGTGACCTAAGGCAAATAACTACAGAATTTCCCAGCTGAGTTGCCTAGAGGAAGGCAGGATGGTTTCAGCACCTGGGTTCTTTGCACTATGGGGTTTGGTAAAAATAATGGCATGCACTTACTAACTTAAAAGCAGTGATTGAGGAGTTAAGAGTTCTTCTTACCAGCTCTTTGCTGAAAAGGAAAGGGATACTGGTTTTGCTGCAAACAGCCCAATTGATGAAATTCTGCACATGCTCGAACTGACGGTTGAGCACCATGATGCTCTGTAACTGCTGCTCCAGCTTCCGCTTTCTCTCATTAGTAATGCCCTGGGTACAGAGAGAGAAGACAGAGTTCCTGATCCTATTCTTGGACTGTAGTCTACCCGCTTGGAAATCTGGTGGCCTGTGTGTATCAGTGTAAACACTGATGGAATCAGATGAGACTGCACCCGAGAGGAGGACAGCAGGACAGAGCACTACCATGGGCTGCTGAGGGGTGGAGGAAGGGAGGGAGAAAGAGTGGGCAGATTTTATAGTGCAAATATGGAATAGGTGATAAATGAATGAGAAAAAGAATGAATGTCTACATCTCTTGGGAATAACTTGATGAAGAAGGAGGGCTGTTTTATGACTTTCTTCCAAGGCTATAATGTTGCACAACCCAGGAAGGCAGTTGCCTTAGAGGCATAGTGCTGATGAGAGTTTGAACTAACTTTCCAGCCTTTAATGAACCACCCTCCCCAAATTAGAATGAACATTTTAAGTTACAGGGAGCAAGAAAGAGCACATATATTCCAGCCCAAGAAGCTCTGCGCCATGGGCCCAGTTTGATATGTGACTGGTTTCTGATCTAGGGAGAACACAGAACCCACCCGCTGGCCCATCTGTCCACATATACCTCCAACTCCTCTATGAGCACGTTGGCCTGTTTGTTCAGCTCATTCATTAGAACCATCTTGGCCATTTTGATCTGGTTTTCCACCTTCCTGTGCTGATGCTTCACCTCAAAAATCCTATAAACAAGATGGAACATAGCATAGTGAGCCCTATGAGGGCTTAGAGACAGCAAACATAAGAGCCAACAACTTGGAGACTGCCCATTGAGATAAGACCCATCAGGCACCAAAAATACAGAAACAAGAACTTTCCTCACCAACCCACCCTTTGGACAACTCAGACCAACTGAGTTAAGTGGGCCAGTGGCCCAGAGATCAACCTGGTTTTCTTGAGGTAAACCTGCAGGCCACCCAGGTCAACCCAGCAGTTCAACAGTTCACACAGACTAGAGGCAGGATAGAGTAAGTATGAGTATGACTTCATGTGATCTATTGTCTAAAGAGGAGAATGCTCCACTAAACAGTGCCATGCAGTAAAAAGAGTATGGACAGAAACAAAAAGTAGACTAGTGACATGGGGGGGAGTTAATGGGCGGAAAAGGACACATTTGTAATACCTTAACTAATAAAGAATTTTTTTTAAAAAGTAGACTAGTGGTTGCCAAGAACTGGGGATGTTGGAGGAATAGAGAATGACTGCTAATGAGTACGGGGTTTCTTTTTGGGGTGATTAAATGTTCTAAAAGTAGATAATAATAATGGTTGCACAACTCTATGAATATACTATAAGCCACTGAAGTGTACATTTTAAAAGGGAAATATTATGGTATGCAAATTAAATCTCGGTAAAGCTGTTAAAAAGAAGGAAAAAAAAGAACATGGGCTTTGAAGTCACACAGAACAGCTTCCAAACTCAGCTTGATCACTGACTGTGTATTCAAACCAATCACCTAACTTCTCCGAACTTCAGTCTCCTCATCAGTAAAATGGAGTTAACCCAACTCAAAGAATTATAAAAATTGAAAATAATGTATGTATGATGCCCGATCCAATGCCAGCCACATGATGAACTCTTAATACCTAGTAATTCCTCTTCCTCGTAAAATACTAACGATTTCATGTCATGTGTAGATTTCTACAGAAAACATTTGGAAATGGGTGATGAAGGGCAGATTGCCACCTACTAGCTGTACCCTAGGATAAACAGGACTCTTGTCCCAGTTATCTACTCTGTGCCCTTGTTCTCAAGCACCAACCTCTTATTACTTCATGGCTACTTTCAAAAGGCATGTGCTTTGGCCCAGACTCACTCTGGTCATCTTGACCTAGTTTGGTCCCATTCACTAAGTGATGACCTGGAGCCCTTTCACTGGCCCTGAGACCTCTAAGGCCAAGACATACGCCTCTGGGACATATGCTCACATCCGCCTAAAGCATATCCAGGGTGTGAGGGAACAGAGCACTTTCCGAGTTGACAAAGGGCTAGCCTGTGCTACCTGTCCTCAATTTGCTTTGCAGATGTCTGCAGGCTGGATTTCTTATGAGCCACCTGGGTAGTCACACTTTCCAGAAGCATCCTCTGATTTTGCAGAACTTCTTCAAGATGTCTGCACCTACAGGAGGAGGCAGAGAAAAAGCTGAGGAAAGCGGAGTTTTATTCTGAACATGCCAGCCAAGCAAGAATCCCCACAGTGCGTGTCTCAGCTAGGCCGATGGAGGCTGGAATTGCATCTAGGAAAAGTCAAAGATACTGCAGGCTCTTGGCTTTTTAGCCCTCTGCGAAGAATCCCCACAAAAGGAGCAGAGAAAACTTCATCCCAGGGGCTGAAGGTTGGCTTAGGCAGGCAAAGAATTTTGATGCACCAGGAGCCCAACACTCTCTAAGTAAGAAGTACAGAGCCCTCCCAATCCCCCTTTGAGCAGCCAGCCAACTCTACCTGTGTTCTTTGTGTTCCACCATGAGGCATCTATGGCACGTGAGCACATCACAGGTCTCGCAGAATAGCTTAAGCACTTCCTGTGTGTGTAGAGGACAGTACAAGGCGAAGTCCCCAGAACTACCATTCACTCCTGCCAGACAAGATGGAGAAAGTGGGCTTCTCTTGTTCAAGAAGACCTCTCAGTTAAGCCCCACCGAGCAGGCTTTGGCCCTCAATGGGACCCTCCATGGACACAGGGTAGACACAGAGCTTCAAGGATAGGTGGTGCAAACAGAAGAGGCCTCTTGTTGGGCCACTGAGGTTCCAGGAGCACAAGGAATGCTGGCTTAGCCCAGCTGGCCAAAAATTGCACAACTGGCCAAAAATAACACACTATCAAGCCCCAGGCATCCCACTACCTGCCAGAGGCTAAGGAAAGTATTTGTTACTACTCCAGCACATGGATCGCCTGCAGGATAATGACTCCTCTAAAATTCAACTTAAAACTCTTCATTAAACCAGGATTCAGTGTGATGGGGCTGAAACCAGCTAAACAGCCTCACCAGGGTCAAAGCCAGATCACATGGATCATTAAATCTGATTCCTGTGGCCCTAGCCGATTTGGCTCAGTGGCTAGAGCATTGGCCTATGGACTGAAGAGTCCCACATTCGATTCCAGTCAAGGGCACATGTCCGGATTGCGGGCTCGATTCCCAGTTGGGAAGACATCTCACCCACACTCACCCACTCCCACTCCGACCAGGGTGAGCCTAGAGCGACTTACACTGTGACTGTGATTCTGGAGGAGACCACCCCTACCGCCGCCACCATCACCACCACCACCACCATCACCACCACCACCACCACCACCAGCGGGGAAACAATGTCAGAGAGCTATTCTCCCAGGATTTTAAGGTTCAGCACCGCTTAAGGGCATGTGAGCTGGTGGGGCAAGCCAGCAGTGATACCTGGAGATCCCTTCTGGGCCGGGGGGAAAAGTGGACCCCCAGGGGCAGGGCCATGCTGGTGCTCTTCTGTGCAGGAGCTGCAGAGCCAGCGGTTGCAGTAGGTACAGAGAATGTGTGCCGCCCTCTTCTCCTTGCACTCGGAGCAGTTCTGGAAGCAGAAAGTTCTGGAGTTATTTGGGCCTGCCTCTCTGAACAGTAAAGGCTCTAACAGCTTTTTCCTCACACTGACATCTGAAACACCCATAGCAGGGAGAAGAAGAGAAGAAATACTACAAGTTTTACTAATTAAACTATGAACTAATTAAGGGTAGAGACCATGGGTCTCTGTCTGCCTAGCACCCAGCACAGGGCCTACCACATGCAAGATAGTCAATAAAAATTAGACACAGGAGCAAGTAAGTAAATTGACAAATGAATAAAATGTAGTGTCAGGGATACCCTAGTGGAGAAAAGAACAAAAGGAGAAGCAGTCAGTAAGTAATGTGAACTTTCAAAAACTCAGGTTACAGGTATCAGTTGTTAAATACAAGAAAGGCAGATGAACCCATTTAACCCAGTCTGCTGCATGAGTTTCAACTCAGGGGTAGAAAAGTGAAAATAAAAGCTCAATACAAATATTTTTCAGTAAGAATGAAGAAAAAAAACTCCCATTTTGCTTACCCCAACTCAACATTTTCATTTTTTTCTGGATAGATGCACAGAAGGAAAGGAGGAAGAGAGGGAAGGAGGGAGGGAGGGACGGAGGGAAGGAGGGAGGGAGGGAGGGAAGGAGGAAAGGAAGGAAGGAAGGAAGGAAGGAAGGAAGGAAGGAAGGAAGGAAGGGGCAAATTGATAGCAGGGTAAGAAGTTGGATGGAGTGATAAGTAGACAGACTTATGGAAAGGGGTCCCATAGATTTCTGAAAAGGATCAGCTGCTTCTTTGGTCCTGACTTACCCTGGCCATCTTGAATTGCCCAGCAGAGAAGCACTGCAGAAAAAAATGTTCAGTTACATCCCTGGTAGGATACACTCGCTTACACCCAGGACAGGAGATGAGCTCTGGGAGAGGGGAAAAAGATAGCAGAGTCAGGGCAACATGGCAGATTATAAGGCCTTGACATGAGGCTTTCTAATATATAACAACCAAGGTATGTGCCAATACCACTTGTGCCAAAATTAACTATGTCTGACACCATAGCCTGCACTTTCCACCTAGGTACTCTGAACATGACCATCCCTTTAGGTGCCTGCCCTACACACCTCTTTACAGCCCTATGTTTGCTGGTCCTACCTTCCTTCCCCCTCCCACAAGCCATTCTACTACAGTTCCAACCCTACTCTGGTTGATAATTGGGTGCCTTCCGCTGCTCCCACTCCTCTTTCCACAGTCCGAGGAGCCCAGCAAATCTCCAGGGAACCAGTTTAGACTAAGGCACAACTCCAGCCATTAAGGTTACCGGCTAGCAGAATTACTTTAAAGATCTCAAAGCAGGGGCTTCCAAAAGGCCCTAACCAGAGAAAGGCAAGGCCTGCCTGCCTGCTCATCAAGGAGGTACTTTTCTCTTGTTACAGCCAAGACCAAGCAGTCTGCCCTTGGGGCTTAGAGTGCTTCTGTAGTGCCTTCTCCAGCTAGTGATGTTGGGTGCATCACATGTATGTGTGGTTCACCTGTGAACATGCACATCTTGTCCTAACCCCCTCTTCTCAGAGAAATGGAACCATCTTCAACACATTCCTCAGCATAACGGGCTCCTGAACTATATAAGCGGAATCAGACTGCCCCTCTCCCCCACCGCCAGAGACTATGGTGCTCTTCAGGCCCACCCCCAGACCAATCAGCTCACCAGGTGCCAGGAAATGAGCCTCCTGAGCAGGACTGGGTGCCTGTGTCCAAGGATGAAAATGACATGGGAAGGGACTGCCTGTGGCAGTGAGTGCTGCTATACCACCACAGTCTAGATTTTCAGTAAGACGAATGTAAGCCCAAACACCAGGTATACCACCCAATGACCTTGGTTGGCAACTCATTTAAACTCACTTAACTCCTCTGTGCCCCAGTTTCTTCATATGTAAAATAGAAAGGGAAAACAAGAGCTGCTATGGGAATTAAATTAGGTAATACTTGAGAAAGCACATGACCATCCATGAATGTTGACTTTGCATTCAAAAGATTTCTCATATCCCTTTCATGGCAATGACCTCAATTAGCAACTCTCCCAGATGATGAAAATCAAACAGTCTGAGAGGTAGATTTAAAAATGTCCACAAATTCTTCCCCTCTGTGTGCCCATGCCCTTCAAATAAGCCACTTCAAAACTTCATGGTTAAAACAACTAAACCATTAAGGTTGAGTCTGTTCTCCAGCCTTTGAAGCTAGGCTGACCTCATGATTTGCTTTGACCAACAGAACATAGCAAAAGTGACAATGAACAAGTTCCAAGCCTAAACCTCAGGTGCCTTTGTATGGTTCTGCTCTTGCTCTCAGGAACTCTAAGACTCTCGCATGAAGCTCAGGTAGATTGCTGGAAGATCAGAGGCCGTGTGGAGAGAGGTCTCAGTTGCGTCAGGTGTCCCACCTGAGCCATCATAAGCCAGTTAGCTCCAACTGACACCCAGCTGAACCCAGACACAGGAATGAGCACAGCTGAGATAAGCCAAGCCCAGCTCAACCCAGCCAAGAATTCCAGCCCAAATGCCAACCTGTATAATCATAAATTAAAATTTAGTGATTTTAACCATGAAGGATTCCACAAAATCATGAAAAATAATAGTTTAATACTCTTCCTCCACCCCTGCTAGCCCCCCTCCCTCAAATGTTTAAAAGCCCCCCATCCTTCACAGAGCCATGAACAGAACTGAGTCTGGAATCTCCTAGTCTCTTGCACATCAAGAACAGTGGTCAGAGTTGGAGAAGGATGCTCTCCACAGGTGGTCTCATCCAGGGGAATCAGGTGACCATTCCTCCCTTCTAATCTCTGGGGAGACCCTACTCATCTATCCCTAGATCAGAAATGCTGCTCTAATCGTTGAAAATTTCCACAAAGCTTCCAACTCCATGGTACCAGAGGCCCACACATTAGTCATACTAACACAGCCTCATTAGCATCATAAAAAAGAGAAATAACTGAATAGATCAGAGAAGCCCTTATTACATATCCTCTGCCTCCCTTGGCCTTAAAGGCCCAAATCCTCGACTTGGTTCTTAGGCCCTTTCCAAGTTGGCCTCTCTCTCGTGACATCTCTAGCTTCACCTGCCACACACCCTATGTCCTTGCCATGCCCCAGTATCTCTGCCATCTCCCGAATACACCAAACCTTTGCATAACTGTTTATAAAAGTGCTGTTCCCTCTCCCTAAAATACTTTTTCTTGCTCCCCTTCTTTTCAGATAAACTCCTATTCATCCTTTCAAACCTGTTCCAAATGTTCTACCTTTGAGAAACAGGGTTGATTTCCCTCGGGATAAGTTAATTATTCCCTCCTCTGAGTCCCCACAGCACCCTGAACGTTCTTCTAGTATAACACATATCACGTAGCATTCTATCTGTTCACATGTCTGCATTAAAAAATAATCCACAATTGGTACTAAAAAAAAAGATTGCATGCTTTTTAGCAAATTGGGACAATTAAGTTTCTATTGCGTTTGAGGATTCCACGTGTAGTCCTTGCACTCACAGCCACTGAAAGTAGTAAGAAGCCATCTGCAAGTTTTCAGGGTGATAGAAAAAAAGCCAGTCCGGAGGACAAAGGAATCAGGTCTGATCCAGGGCAGAGCTGTGGTGCTTGGGAAAGGCTGTGAATTGGGAAATGTGGGTTCCAGGCCCAGGGCTGGCACTATCTGTGTAACCTTACATAAGTGACCCCCTTTCTCTGAACTGTACTTTCTACACCCTTAAAACGAGGGGAATGGGAATATCAGGGAAACATGGATTATCCAACCCTCTTCCTCTGCCTACTGCAGCCAGTCTTCAGAAATATTCCCCTGGGCAAGATGGGAAGACACAGAGAGCCAAACAGCGACCTGGCTATCAAGTCAGCAACGCAGGAGACAAGCTGTGGGCTCAGCCCATCTAAAGAGGGGCTGCTGCAGCAGACTGCACGGATGGAAGACTGTGGGTCCAGCATGAACTCGGAGACACATGTTATCTGTCACAACACTTTGTCCAGAAATTCTTATCTTCCCTCAGAAGGTCCTAACCCCATCAAGCTGTGTCAACCTTGAGCTTTTTTTTTTTTAAGAGAATTCCCCATTTTTCAATGGAGATACAAAAACAAAATTTGTTAAGACAATTGGAATACATGAACTCTTAATTATCTAAAATTATCAAACATCTATAATATTTAACATTAATCTGGTTATTAATACATATGTAAGTCACATGTTACATAAAACATTATTTAGATATATTGTTTTTTTTCTATTTGAATTATCAAGCAACAGCCTTGACTGTCTATGTTGTACATGGGAACATCAATTCTGAGAAATGGTCCAAAGGTCACGCAACCATCCCGGGAGGAGGTGGGGAGTCTGCTTCCAGAGTAAAGAAGGCATTGGCCCCAGAGGTCCTCCTGGGGACCTAGCAGCCTGGTAGAATGGCTCTGAAACCCAATGATGTTCAGTGACACTGTTGTAAGAGTAAGCACTTCTGGTCCCTAGGATGTGTGGGACAAATTATTCTTTACCACTACTCCCCGTACCAGGCACTTTACATGTTTATCTCATTTAATCATCAATCCACATCTAATACGTAGCCATTGTCCCCATTTCATAGTTGGAGAGACTGAGGCTCCAAGAAATTTTCACCCATCAAAGATCACGCAAAGCAAGGGCAGAACTACCATTGAAACCCAAGTCTATCTCTCTCTAAAACCCAGCCCTTTTCACTATGCTAGGCTCCTCTCTGATTCAAGTGTGAATAAAACAAAGGTAGCCCTAGCTGGTTTTGCTCAGTGGATAGAGCATCAGCCTGAGGACTGGAGGGTCCCGGGTTCAATTCTAG